ATACAATTCAATTACTCTTGAATCCTGGCCATCATTGTTTGAATTCCATCAAAACCCCATCTCCCAAACCTCACATTAATCTACTGCCTGGAGGCCAAAGGCCCTAATAACACTTGACCCAGAAAATATAATTTTTTGAAGACATAAACATTTGATATCTTCAATAAATTTTAATAATCAAATAATGATTTCAGCTATGTTGCTATGTTTTATTTCATATTACCCCCAATATTTTTATTTCCCTTGGAAAAGAACTTCTTGGTTACTTTTTTCTGTCAAAATGAAAGATTTAATGCTAAAGGTTAACATTTAATATAACATTTTTGGTTTAAGATTTGGAACCCCTTCACCGAAAGAAAATTTTACTTTTTTCAGACTAATATGGCTAGCGTGCATAGGATTATGAGGACTAGGTGATTGGGAAATGTTTAATTTAATTAGGGCTGAATTTGCAAATAAAAAAGAATGCTAGAAGAATATATAAGGAGAAAGAATAAGTAGGGAATAATGAAGAATCATTAATCTCTTGGTTGCTACATATCTGAAATAGCTTGTTTATTAGTAGTATTTTAGCCACATTGAGCAAAAGGCTCACCTTAAGAAGACATTTGCTGGGGGAAAAAGGAATACTGTCCATGTTGAAATGACTAATGATGTTTTTACATAGCTATTAAAAAGAATAGTGTGTTGGGTATACATTCACATGTATATATATAACTTAAACATTATGTATTAGAACAACTGTGCACATACAGTATGTGACCACCGCAGAGATTACGCCGAACGTACTTGCTCCTTACTGCACACACATGATTTGTACTTGGCTCATGTAGATTTACCATTTAGTTTAAATATTAAAAATCTAGGGTTTGTCCCTAATGAAATGTAAAGCATTAATAACTTATGACTATTAAGTTTTCATTTCGTAATCTTGAATGGAAATTTAAAATGTCTTGCATCTTGAGCTACATTTCAGCTGCATCGTATCAGGAAGAACAATAACAACAAATGAATAAAGCAAAACAAGGGGCAGGAAAAGAGTCCACCCAAGGGAACTTTGCTCATATGTCAAAGCCTTAGACAGAGGTTGTAAAATTAGCAAATACGGAGTGAGACACCAGAGTAAAAGCTATCATTATGAAGTGCTTATTGCATACTAGAGGCCCAGTGCACAAAATTCGTGGACTCAGCGGGGAGGGGTCCCTCAGCCCGGCCTACACCCTTGCGCAGTCCGGGAGCCCTCAGGTGATGTCTGACTAACAGCAGTCGGACATCCTTAGCACTGCCACGGAGGCGGGCATCCTTAGCTCCTGCCACCACCGCTGTGCTCACCAGCTGTGAGCCTGCTTCTGGCTGAGCGGTGCTTGCCCTGTGGGAGCTCACTGACCACCAGGGGGCAGCTCCTGTGTTGAGTGGGATCAGGCTGAAACTGGCTCTCTGACATCCCCCGAGGGGTCCTAGATTGGGAAAGGGTGCAGGCCAGGCCAAGGGACCCCACAGGTGCATGATCGGGGCCAGGGAGGTCCGTGGGAGGTTGGCCAGCTGGGGAGGGATCACAGGAGGGCTCCAGGGCATGTCCGGCCCATTTCGCTCAATCCAGATCAGCCGGACCCCAGCAGCAAGCTAACCTACCAGTTGGAGCATCTGCCCCCTGGTGGTCAGTGCACGTCATAGCGAGCGGTTGAGTGGCCTTAGCATATCATTAGCATATTATGCTTTGATTGGTTGAACAGACGACTGGACAACCAGACACTTAGCATATTAGGCTTTTATTATATAGGATTTTATCTCATCAATCCTCACAACCATACCTTGAAGTAGGTTCTATTATTTCCACTTTATAGATGAGAGAACTGAGTCTGAACTAATTGTCTCACCTGGTTTACTCAGATGAAAATAGCCACCTAGAATTAAATCCTGGGCCTCCTTACTTTCAAAACTTTCTCTAATGGTCACATACAGAGCAATGACAAGATGGGGGCCTGTGTGTGATTGCGTGATTTGTGCTGAAGAACAGTTAAGAAAAGTTGAATAAGAAAACTTTTGGAAAGTAGACTACTTTTTAAAATGTGTTTCTGTTTAATTTGCCTTAAATTAATTGTAGCAATGTTTATATTATTTGGATGCTGAGTCAATGCAATGTACCTGCATTGAGTATTTCATTTTCTTGCAGATGGTTGGCATTATATCCATGTAACCAGGAACTTGCATTCCCAGTTTTTGTCACCATTTAAAAACACACAAAAAGCCATATGTAATAGGAGAAATTTTCTCGTGTGTTCAAAAGATAATGTTGATTGATAAGTAAGTCCTCAATAATCTTATTCAGTGATCAGTCAGAATGACTAGTACACCTACCTTCTTTCTATGTAGTATAATTTTAAGCTATTAATCAATAATATAAAAGACTAAGTATAGTGCTACTGCCAAGCATTTGGAATTTGCTATGATTTCTGTCTATACATTTCCTAAACATAAAATATAATGAAGTGATTGGTAGTGATTGAAAGTAATTGGAGTCAGGGTTCTCCAGAGAAACAGAATGAAGGAATTGCCTCATAGGAGGGAAGGGCTTGCAGAAGCGAAATTTGTAGGGCAGGGTGGTAGGCTGGAAACTCAGTATTGAGACAGGTTTTATTTTTCCCCAGGTAATCTCAGTTTTTGCTCTCAAGGCTTTCAACTAATTGGATGAGATCCCCACAATTTCACTGGAGTCATCTCCTTTACTTAAAGTCACCTGATTGTAGATATTAACCACATGGACAAAATACCTTCATAGCAACACCTAGAGTAGCATTTGATTAAACCCCTGGGAACTATAGCCTAGCCAAGTTGACACATAAAACTAAGCATCACACTGATACAGAACAATATTTCTCAAAGTACAGATTCAGACATTCCTAGGAGTATGTAAGGAAGCTATTTAGATGTCTGAGAGTCACCAAGTTAAAGAACTGATGGGTATTCATGAAAGCATTTTTTAAATCTCTTTTCAGATAGACTGATGTCCTCTTGTATTGTTTTAATCCCACAAGCATTTGACTTCTGTTCTCTTTTTAGACCAAGTCTGCTCTCCTCATGAGCAGCCATCTAGCTTACTCTTTTCCGCTCTCTACAAAGATACAATAAGATTTTCCTGAGATTCTGTAAAGGAAAACTAAGAATATGTCATGACATCCTTTCTCTATGGTATAAAATGCCATTGTCAAATTTTCACTGTACTAAAACTTATTAATATTGTTTTCTTATAGTTGGATTATTTGTTCAAGTCAATGTTCTTTTTTTAAAAAGAACAATTTTTTAACATCCTATGTAATAAAAGGCTAATATGCAAATCAACCAAATGGCAGAACGACCGGTTGCTTTGAAGCACACTGATCACCAGATGCTCAATGCAGGAACTGCCCCCTGGTGGTCAGTGTGCTCCCACAAGGGGAGCGCCGCTCAGCCAGAAGCTGGGCTCACAGCTGGCAAGCACAGCGGCAGTGGTGGAGCCTCTCCTGCCTCTGCAGCAGTAAGGGGAGCGGCGGGCCTAAGCTGTCAGTCGGACATCCCCTGAGGGCTCCCAGACTTCGAGAGGGTGCAGGCCAGGCTGAGGAACCCCCCCCCCGCTTGAGTGCATGAATTTTGTGCACCAGGCCTCTAGTTAAAATATAATCTTCAGTGAAAATCCCATTATATGTACAGTATAATATTTCATTTCATCTATGGGGAGAGATAGCAGCCTATGTATCCCATTTCTTGAGTCTGAATTTTTCTATATTGATTTTCTGGTGAACTTCTTGAAGTGTTAATTGGCCAAACACTAATACTACTGACACAATTGCTATATGCAACAGTCTATCTGGAAATCATAAAGAATTGCCAGAAAATATTCATTTAATTTCCTTTCAAAGTGTCTCTGTATATTTTTAACCTATAATGTGTGGGGGAGCACATGAGACTTGGTTGGAAAGTTTTTAAGGAGGACATTCTAAGAAAAGGGAAGTGTGCAGAAGGCCGCCTGCCCTGTTTATGAGAATTCTGATTTAGGGGAGTGCCGAAGGCAGTGCTCCTAATTATTCCTTGACTTTTCCAAACAAGTCTGTGCATGAGCAGACCCCGGGGGTAGGGGGTGGGGTTAATGGAATCCTTATGCTTAATCTTTTGGGTGTCCTTACTTAAAAGACACCACAAACACACGTGTCCTCCCAAGATTACTTACCCTGTTGATTGTATCTAAAGGATAAACTTTATCTCAAACTACTGCTACAATAAAAGCCTAACGAGGCAGGCAATCGAGGCTGCCTGGTTCCTTTAGCCAGGCTGTCCCTTAGCCCTCTCTTTCACTGCAATGTTGTGTTAGAGTAACCCACTCATCCGTCACTCGGGGTCTACTGGTCAGCCCCAGCAATAATTCATACTTATGGAAAGAGCACTAACTCTATTGATGAGGTAGACATCACTAACTGTTATTACTGCTTCATTCCGTGACTCCAGATGATTGATGCAGACTTAGTAAACAGCATTTAGAGCATCAAAGGAAAAAGGCATTTGCCAATTGGAAAATTGTCACTCTTAAAAGCAGAAATAAAATGGTCTTATTGTCACATTGAATTGATGGATAAGAATAACACGTCTTTAAGGTTATTCACTCTAATATTATGTTAACTAGTTCTCTCATTGACATTAGTTTTGATGTTTTCCAAATATGTGCCCTTGAACCCATTCTCTTTATCCAATGTTTAAAATATTTATTTATTGACTTTTCGAGAGAGGGAAAGAGGAGAGAGATAGAGAATTTGTTGTTTCACTTATTTATGCATCCATTGGTTGATTCTTGTATGTGTCCTGACCAGAAATTGAACCCACAACTTGGCATATAAGGACGATGCTCTAATTAACTGAACTATGTGGCCAGGGCATATCCATTTTTTAAATCTAACAATCATTCAAAATATTTAGGCTTTCATTCCAATTAACTTCCTCCATTGTCTAACATTTTACTGTTTTTATTGCAGTTAAATTTCAGCATTTCATGTTCCTGATGGTCGTCCATCCTGGGTTGTTCACAATATCCTGCACATGCTCTGAGGACCCAGTTAGGTAAAGTAGTTAGTAATCATCTCTGGCATAGCCTTTTCAATCATTGGAATATTGTGGTGGAATCATTTTAAAATGAGTGTTTGCAATTTATTTATTACATCTTATAGATCTAAATAATGTCATCACACTGTTATTGGGGGGGGGGGGTAAGGAGAGAAGTAAATCATCTAACATCAATATAATTTTTCAGAGGACATTTCTCTGAGAAGGAACAAAGGAAGAAGTCTTTGTAGCCCACCTATCTTGTGCCAGGAATTACTAATTAATATCCATTGCTTTCTTACTCTGCATATCAACACTCATAGTTGGTGTTACAGGCCCATACTACCCTGCATGAAATCCCTTGGGCTAAATATGTCTCAGAATTCATAAATCTTCACGTTTTAGGTCTGGGGTATCTCCTTGCCATCAACATTAATACTTCCTCAGTGAAATGTATGCATATAAACTACACAGGGTGCAATAAGTAAAGGCTATAAATAAACTCATGTCAGTTCTGATCAGGTTTGCAGACAATGGGTTCATGTCAAGCCAGGTTTTGCTGCCAAATGAGAAAAAAAAATAGTAGTGGTTTTTGGGTTTCAGAATAGTGAGTAAGGGACAGTGACCCTGTATTAAGTCAATATTAGGAAGAGTTAATATAGGGCACCTAGAGGGGTTAATACAAGTCAGGGACACGGAATTTAAACCCAGGCCTGTCTTGATCCAGAGGCCTTTTTTGTTGTTGCTGTCACTGAATTCAATGAAAGGTTTGTGCATATATCTTCTTTAAGAATAATGAGAAACTTGGGTTCACTAAGGAACACTAAAACTATAGGCTTTCAAAGATGATCCATCATTGAATCAGTAAATACCTTGGAAATGTTTTCCATTGTGACCACCCATCACAAAACCACGGGGAAGGTCATTTTTCCACATTTTGGAATTTAAATTATATTCAATAAAAGGGACGCTCTGATGTTTGCCTTAACTTATCTAATCTCAAATGAACCCAAGCTGCTTCCAAGAGATTGCTTTGGCCCTGAAAGATTGTTGTCAGCTTGGATTTGAGGACCCAAGGCCAATTATGTTCACGGCAATCCATACGGGCTGTTAATTAATTATAGTTTATGTTATTCACCAGTCCCATCCCACCAAGGCCTCGCTTTCTGAAGCCTCCCGGAGGGAGTAGACTATTAACTGGTATTAACTGGGCTCCCTTGGCATGACAGTGCAGTGTGGCCTGAAAAGCTGGCAAAAGTGCTGCAAATACTCCGGAGGCTCCTCAGCCAGAATAGGGCTTTTAGAAAAACACGATGCTATCCTGAGTACCAGATGCTGAGTGCTGAAACTTTTGGACCACGCCGTCCTTTTGCGAGAGGCCAAATGCAGTCCCCGTGTACTGCAATCAGCCAAAACTTTCTACACTTACCACACTACCCTGAGGTGAACTTCTCCTGGTTATTCCACAAAGAAAAACAGAGTAATTCTAGTGGAATGCTTTCAACTGGAAATAAGTGACATGTCATGACTGTCTTCCATGGAAGCTTAGGAACAATTCATGCCTTAAGTTCTAAAAAGTGGGTTCTTAAAGAGCACTAAAATGTTTATTCCTTGGCTTCCACCCTCAGATAATGAGAAGTCTATTGTAAGATAATCCTTCATAACAAAAACTTACATATTTTCAAAGTAGATTAAGATAAAGATTTGTTGTTGTCCTTAATTTAATTGTGCTTTTATACACACACAAAATTAGAAAGATAATAGATGACATATAAAAAGGAGTTAGATCCTTATTAATACCATCCAGTGGTTTTTTATATGTTTACACATGTCCTTTTAAAGAATTAGAAATTCATAATATGGCTTTTCCCTCTATTTCTGTTCTGTTTGGTTATTTATTGAAACAATAATATTAAAACCTCAAATGTCAAAGACACAAGGACTAGATTATACAGCAGATAAGTACCACAAACTAGCAATAGTTTTGGAATAACAAGCAGGATAGTAGGGTTCTCCAAGGGAAACAGAACCAATAGCACACGGAGGCAGAGCTATCCATTAGCTATTATAGGAATCAGTTAACATGGTCATGGGAACTGAGAAGTCCGCTGTCTGTAACTGGAGAACGAGGGAAGCCAGTATTCTATAATTCGGTCTGAGGCTGAAGGCCTGAGAACCAGGAGCTCCTATGTCCACAGGCATTGGAAAATGAACGTCCGAGAGCACCTTTGCTCTTCCTCTGTCTTTTGTTCTACTGCGGTCCTCAGTGGATTGGATGGTGTCCCCCATTGGTGAGGACAGGTCTTCACTCAGTCTACTGATTCAGTTGCTAATCTCTTCTGGAAACACTCTCACAGACACACCCAGAGGTAATGTTTTACCAGCTGTCTGGGCATCCTTTAGCCCGGTCAGGCTGACACGTAAAATTAATCATCACAAGTTGTAAGAAAAAAATTGGTTGGAAACTTCTCTATACAAAAGGCTTGTTGATTACAGTAGATACAGATACGCTAGAGGAGTTCTGGCTTACCATAGAGGCATGTATGTCTTGGCAAGTTAACAGCGAGCCAGTCTACTCTGTGGGCTTGTAGGGTGAGAACCTGATCACTGTTACTTTGGCTCAACAAGAGGAGGTGTTTAAGCACCAGAAAACCTATCTATGTAAACTATTCAAACAGTCTCACTCAAAAGAAACAGAAGATATAGAGGTCAGAATGTCAATTTATTAATTTTCCAAGGGGAATTTAAAATGAGGGAATAATAGCTCTACTTGACCAATTATATTACACAATATCTTTTCCTTAATCAATGATTCTCTATAGCCCTAAATTAATTTATTCAGTTTTTCTATCACCATCAACTTACTTAAGGTTGGGCGAGACATTTTAATTCTTTATGTATGGTTGAAACCCTTGAAATGAATCAAAGCTTTTTGTACCTAGGATTCACCAAACTCAAATTACTCTTTCAAGCTTCATTGACTCCATTGACTGGGATGCATGCCTGTTGAGTGAGATGTCTGACACAATTGTCTAAGTTAAATGTAAATGATTTCTACCTTGGGCCTTTTCCTGCAGTTTAATTCAAATAAATTAGATGTATGTTTGCTGAAACTCTACTGTGCGTAGCAAATGACTCTAATCTGATGTCATTCTCCATTGCGATAGAGTGCAAAGAGTGATGAGGTCTGAATCGGAAATACTCTGTGTGTGTTAGACATGGAACAAATCACTCATCTTTGAAATATATTTCTTCAGTTATGCATTGCAGTGTTATATATGGTATATCTTACAGATTTGTTTTTTTGAACCAAGTTACATGCGACAACTGCATACAGATACTTTTAAAAACATAATTACTATGTCAATGAAAGATACTATAATAAAAGACACAGGAAGAGCTTGATCTTAGCAGTGATCTAGAAGACTTTGGGCTATGCCCCAAGTCACTTTTTTTCTGAATGTGCTGAGCCCTTCCTGGAAACGGTCATAGGGGATGAAGAATTGATCATCAGACAATATGCAGCCAGCTGTGCTCCTCAATGGGAGGTCACCTCACTAAAACAGGTGGCCGAGGAATTAGACGTTCCCTCCTAATAATAAAATAAAGAGAATGAATATCTAGGAGATGATTTTCATTCCCTTGATGATAAATTCTGAGCACTGTGTTAGTTTGCTAGAGCTGCCATAACAAAATACCACAGACCGAGTGGTTCAAACAGATGTGTATTTTCTCACAATTCTGGAGGCTGCAAGTGCAAGGTCAAGGTGTCTGTGGGTTCAGTGCATCCTGAGGTCTCTCCCTTTGGCTTGAGGATGGCCGTCTTCTCGCTGTGTTCTCATGTGACCGTCTCTTTGTGCAGGTGCATCCTAGCGTCTCTTCCTCATCACATAAGGATACCCGGCATGTTGATTAGACCAATATGGTACTACGACCTCCTTTAAACTTAATTACCTCTTTCAAGGCCCTACCTCCAGATGCCATCATATTAGGAATTTGAGATTCAACATGTGAAATTGATGAGGGCGCAATTCAGTTCATAGCAAGGACCTGTTCATAGCAGTGGTGATGGGAATAAAAGGATGTACAAATTGTGAGACATTTTTTGAGGTAGAAGTAAAAGCATTATTTGATCAACTAAAGGTAGGAAGCACATTCTCCCTTCCTCTCTGAAATAAGTAAAAATATATATATTTTTTAAAGTGGAAAAAGTCTTAATTCAGTGAAAATTGGTGTCATACCACATGGTATTTTTAATAAGAGGAAAACATAATCATATTGTTTAAATGAAGTTTGATATGGGCTTTTTAATCTCCCCATGGAAAAGCAAAACCCATATATATTTTCTAGAGGAAGATGATCTGATTAATGTGGGCACTGCCAATACTGCTCTTGTGGTAGCATCAGGAAAACAAACCTTCAGTGATGGCACATGACAGAGAGGACGGAGGACAGAAGCAGACTGTGAATGCATTAGTGAATGTACCTGAAACATGCACGCTCGCATAAACCAATGACCAGTAGGTAGTTCATGTCTGTTAGAGGACTTGTAGATGATAGAGAAGAGAGATTCAGGAGATTCCAAATTTGATGAGAAACCATGGAAAAATAAAGAAACCCTTTCCCTTGTTTACTATTGTACAGCCTACTCTAAGTGAAATCATCTATATTTTGGATAAAAGTATTCTCCAAGGGGGAAACACGTCAATACTCAGTATGCCATAACCTGGCAAAACTTTGCAATAATGAGGACTGTCAAAAGGTAGTGCTTTTCAGATGAAAGGATCTGAAGCAGCCACAGAAGCTATTCGAAACTGTCTACAGGAAGAGCCATAGATTAAAGACTATAAACTATTAGACACCTTAAAACAGAAGAGAGAGAGGAAGAGACAGCCGGCTGATCCCAGGGACAGATAACAAGACCAGATGGGATTCCCAGCTGGAGAGCAAACTTGGGGCAGGCGGTGAGGGCAAGGCGACCATAAAACTAACTGCCAGGGAAGGAGAAGGGACAATGA